ATGCAATATTGTTTAGTGTTTTATGTTGGGGACATTAACACACAGCACCATCTAGTACCATGGTAAGCTACGAGGCCTGTGTTATGTATACCAGATAGTTGATACACTACACATATATAACTTTAAACATTACTTAATATTTTACATATTATAAATATAAACACCTATGACTGGGGTACAAACATACGTGTTCATCACACAAATGAATGCCCCCAGCGGGACTCGAACCCGCGACCGCTGGCACAGCAAGTAGGGTCACTACAAATTGAGCCAAACGTGTCAAATATTTTCATGTCATTATGTGTTTTATTTTTCAATAAATATATTATCATTATTAATCTATATAGATTTCGATAACAGGACGGCATTTTTTACAGTACTCATGGGCGGCGCTAAGGTTAAATCCGGTTCTGATTAATTGTAATCACTGAATGAATACAAAATGGAAATAATACTTTAATCTAAGGATTATATATAATATACGACGTAAACAATATTTTTTATCGAATTACACATTACTTATATTTATTTATCTACTAGCATCGCCCGCGGCGCCGCCCGCTTTCATATGACCAAAAACCAAATTCTTAGGTTTTACATATTAGTATACTCTTACATTGTAGTTTTTGTATTTTTTCTCAGAAATGAGACGATTTCCCGCGGTAAAAAGTATCCTATATGTTGACTCGGATAGCCAGCTATCACCATACTAAATTTCATCAAAATCCCTCCAGTGGTCTTTCTGTGATGCGGTAACAGACAGACAGACAATTCTAAAAACTATAAATTCGGCTTCTATATCGATAATAATGTTTATTTCAATAAGATTTTCCAAAAAATATTTAATTTACAGATTCGGCTTAGTTACAATTTTATTATATGTATAGATGACATTGCATTCATGAAATAAATGAAGGTAATTAATGTGTTTAACAACATATTAATTAATTCCAAAAAGGAGGAGGTTCTCAATTCGTCGGTTTTTTTAATGTATGTTCGCCGATTACTCGAAGACGCCTAAACCGATTTTTTTTCGAAGGATATACTTTCCAGGTTTCCATTTAGATTTTATCGAAATCGGTTGAGCAGTTTTTTAAAAATCTGCCAAGCGAGGGTGAGCCGCTAGTAACTAATATATAATTTGATGGATGAAAGAGAAGAGACATTAAAAGAAACAGAAGACATGCGAAGAAGACACGCCTGTTAAACTAACTAATGTACCCCCATGCAAAATTTCATTTAAATCCGTCCAACAGTTTCGGAGATTGGGCTAATCAAACAAACAGACAGAGAAATAAAAAAATTGAAAATTCTGGATTTGTTCTATGCCTCTTCTTACATCCCCCAGACTCGGTTTTTAGCATATTTTTTCTATGTACCTTTAGTATGTGTATCCCCATACGTTGTTTAAACTAATTTACGATATGTGCCAGCAGAATTTACATGTATTTGTAACTATTTTGTTTTTGAATTTAAATACGATCCCTACTTGATATATTGACATGTTCAAAATGCGCGCGTATAAGGTTTAACCACGGTAATGTAATGCATTATTACCGTGGTTTAATGCTATGTTAATGTCGCATTTTCGTTTCATCGAGTTTCAAATCACAACGATTCTAGAAGTTTCTCTTCAAAAATAACATTTGATTGTCACTGTGACAATGTGCCAACACGACACTCCTAGAAGCCTCTACAGTTTTATTATATGTATAGATATTATGTCCAATATCCAAATATTTTTTGTAGTTTGAACGCGGGCAAATCCGTTTGTTCTCCTAGTAATTAATATGTTAAAAAAATTAATCAATTCATTTCACAGATTCATTTTCAATGTACTCTAAGGTCGTGGCAGACACAAGATCTGTAGTTTTTTTATCTATATATACATATAATAAAATTGTAACTAAGCCGAATCTGTACATTAAATATTTTATGGAAAATCTTATTGAAATAAACATTATTATCAATACAGATGCCGCCGAATCTATAGTATTTTAGAATTTTTTCTGTCTGTCTGTTACCGCATCACAGAAAAACCACTGGAGGGATTTTGATGAAATTCGGTATGGTGATAGCTGGTTATCCAGGTCAACATATACGATACTTTTTACCGCGGGAAAACGTCTCATTTCTGAGAAAAAATACAAAAACTGCAATGTAAGAGTATAATAATATGTAAAACCTAAGAAATTGGTTTTCGGTCATCTGAACGCGGGTAATATTAGTATCTAATATAAATATTATCAATCCACAATTTAAAATCTTTTTGAATTATTTTATGTAATTTTAACTCTTACATCGTAATTTTTATATTTGTAAAGAAAAATATATTTTTGTCTTTTAAAGGTTTTGTGTACATCCATCTGTATTTTACGGCTGGACAAGCTATTAAAACTCCTATTAGTTTCGCAAAATCACGTATAATACAAGTAGGTAGCTTTAAAATCTATAAATTAACATAAAAAAATTATAAATATTATCGCGTTTGTCTGTAGGTAATGATAATGTTATATTAATAGCATTATATTATATGAATCACACGGTTTTAGTGAAGTTTTATCATAATTAATGATAAAACAATTTTATTGTTTCATTGACATATTCTGACAATTTAAATAGCTTCCGCCTACACACAAAATATCATCCAAAGATAACACCGATTTAAAACCTTGGAATATTTATCTAGTAATAACTATTTTTATTATTTTAGTTAATAAATTAAAAAAATTTAAAAACCCTCTACGCAAATTAATTGTCATTTAACGATTATATTATTACACTGGCACGCGTGAAGCACTTAATCGAGTAATCATACGCCAAAATGCCTTACATCATTTTGGAAAGAGCTGATACTCTTACACTGCTGGACCGATATTAACCAGACATAGCTAAGAACCACCGCAAGGAAATTGGCTTTCAAATGAAAAAAACCGCATCGAAATCGGTCCATCCGTTTGAGAGCTACGATGGAACAGACACACACACAAACAGACAGACATCGACGTCAAACTTATTCGACCCCTCTTTTTGCGTCGGGGGTTAAAAACAAGAGGGGCTGAGCACAGTCCATACGGCATGGCGTTGAATTTGTATGTTACTATATTTGTATTCTTACTATATTTGATAGATGCCTTGTCCTTCGCACGAGGTCTGAAATGGAGGTGGGCGGGTGGTGAGGACCTCATGGGCATAGAAGCAGAGGGAGACCAAAGGCAAGGTGGAAGGATGAGATAGAGACCGTTGGAACACGCAACTGGTACAACCTCGCAAGGAATCGCGACAAGTGGCAATCTCTGGAGGAGGCCTTCACCCGAAGAGGGGTCCAGATGGCATATATATCGTACTAACAATACCCACGTCTATTTATACGAATGTACATGCCAATGAAATAATAAAGGTTTTTTTATTTTATTTATATTTCTATTATCATGTTGATGTCGAAATTGAAAACGTAATTAAATATTTCTTTTGTGAGCTACGAGCATGTATAGATATTAACAGGTATGATTCTTCGAAGTCTATCGTGGCCAAATAATTGTTACAAAAAATTCTTTTTTACGTCGTTTTCAGGTCTTCCGTTTTAAAATGACTTTTTGAAATTAATTTATTAGGAGGAAGAATCTTTTATCTCCATTACGTTTTGGAGCTAAAAAAGTTTTAGATATAAATTGACCAGTTTTAGATAAGCATTGTGAAATTGCTCTTAAATCAACTAATTCAGATATAGATTTATTCATAAAAAAAATCATTATCATTTAACACTGGAAGCTTAGGATTAGAAAACATATTATTTATTCACATTTTTACGAGCAAGCAATATATTACACAGTACATTGTAAGAAAACCATTTTTTTTCAAAACATCTCAGGGATTGGATAAATACTTCGTATTTAATTTACTAGCTTACGTATAAAATTATTTACAAATAACTTGAGCATGGCATGGGCAAGATCGCTGGTGGGAAGCTTTCTGTTTGTTTGTTTGTTCTTAGTTTTTGTATTGTCAGACGTGTGGGAAGATGTTGAGGATCATGCCTTGGGGGATGCACAACTGCATTTCATTGACAAGATCTCTGTATAGTTTGTAAAGACTTATGATGACGATTTCACGCAACAGAAATATCGATCATTGATCTTGGCATAGTTTTTATATCGGTATTGTTTGGGCTCAAAATATAAATTCAGAAGATCTTTGATTTGAAGACTTCCCTGTTTTTTCTTGCCCAGTCTTTCTAACGCCATATTGCATTGCTATTTAATGTTGCCATCCTCTTTAGTACTCTCCGCTACCCTCGTTGCGAATTTATATGCTTCATACTTGACAATTCTCTTCTTTTTCCTCTTTTCCCAGTGCTTTTGTCCCAATTTTATTTGGGGTCGGCGCAATATGTTACCATTCATACTGCTTTAAGGTTTGGGCTGTTTTTTTTTATAGCCGGCCGCTTGCCTCACGCCAACCCTCCTCGGGAATATTATGGTTTTAAGACGGGAAAAAGGAACAAAGTGTATTGGAATAGGAAAAAAAATGCTTTACAATTCTATTTGATGAATATTTTTATCATACTTTTTTTTAATGATCATTCATTTATGCAGTAAACATAAAAGATGGCTATAAAGGATATATAAGGCAGTGGTAGCCCAGTGGTAACGCGCTCGCTTGGGAAACCGAGTGAAGTGGGATCAAATCCTGGGTCTCGCAGTTCGCACCTCTGATATTTTCATGTGCGAATCATTTGTGTGTGAATTTGTGTGTGAATTTTGTGAAGGAAAACATCGTGAGGAAACCTGCATGTCTAAGAAAACCTAGCAAGTTCTCAAAAGACATGTGAAGTCCGAAAACTCGGCCAGCGTGGTGGGCTATGGCCTGATTCCCCTCGTATTAAATGGACTCCCATCCCCAGCAGTGGGACGTTAACAAGGGCTGAACATATAGAGAATATATGAATAAAACTAAAATAATTAAATTATGTTTTTTTATTTAACAATAAATAGCGTTTAAAGACGAGCCTGAATCCATGAGTTGAAGGAGCTGACACGTGCGAAGCCGGCGGGAAAACCAGCCTGGCATCCACGTTGAGCGACGAATGACGTAACTCCGATCTGGTGAGTGTATTAAAAATTAAAAACTTTTTAACAGAAAATGAAAACCGACTTCAAACAAAAGCACTAAAAAGTAAAAAAAAAACTGATTGGTAGTTTCCATTTACTATACATACATAATCAAATATTTTCGAAGTCGGTGTGCTTGGCTTTGTATCGGCTGGCACCGACTTCGAAATTGAAATTGGAAAAAAAAATTTTTGGTTTTGGTTAATAAATGACGGAGTTCTGAGGTAACAAACATAAAAAAAAACATACAGCCAAATTGAGAACCGAACGTTTAGATCATGGCCGCCAACCTCACAAGTGTGACAAGCATTTTACGTAGAGGAACAAATGGTTTTACATCTTATCGAGGGTGTTGCATATAGCTCGGCTGCTGCTACTGAGATTTTTTGAAAGAAAACTCGAATACTATTTTTGATCCTACCAGGGATTTGAACCCAGAAACAAATATAAAAACACCTAACGCTACACTTCAGCTTCTAGTTCATTCAATTGTACCAATGAAATAATTGACACAGTTTACCAACACAAATATGTATCTACAATACTAAAACAGAAACTTCTTGCATTATATTTATATGTATAATATGTATTTAAAGTTATATATGTGTAGTGCATCAACTATCTGGTATCCATAATACTTACCATGGAACTAGATGGTGTTGTGTGTTAAAGTCCCAATATATTTATTTTACTTTATTTAATAATAAAAATTATTTAATATTAAAACAACTGTGAGCTGTTCCATAAGAATTTAAGTTATTATACATTTTTGTAAGTTTAAAAACGCTTACTACTTATTACTTTATAGGAAATCTTCTTAACTTTAATTTTTAACTTTTCTTTATTTTTTGGAATTTGTCCTTTATTTGTGCTGTTAGAACTTGCTTTTTGTCAAATTTCGTGATTCTAGGTCAATAGGAACTACCATATATATAGGTTTTCGACCCAAAACCTATAGGGTAATTCCGGTTGACCTAGAATTGTCAATTTCGGTTAAAAGCAAGATCTCCCAGCACAAGTAAAGGGAAAGTTCCGAAAAATAAAAAAGTTGAAAATTAAGGTAAATTTTGGTACTTACAAGTTTTCGCGAAAATCTAAATTTGCCAATATCTTTTTATCGTGTTGACTCAGCACCTTATAGTTATACCTACACCTAATAGGCACTACAGACCTCAGTATCTGGTGTAAATTTCAACTTGGTAGGTCCACCCGTTCCTGAGAAAATCGGTGGTCACACATGGACGGACAAGAGAGTGATCTCATAAGGGTTCCTCTTTTTACATTTTAAAGGTACGGAAGCTTAAAAAACTTTAATTTTTATGAATGATATCAAAAATAAGGTGTAAAAAGAAGGAAAATTACCAAGTGTCCGCCTGCGACGAGAGAGCCGCCCGAGTCGCCTTGGCAGACGTTGCGGTCGCTAGCACTGCTGGTGCAAATGGTGGATGCAACGATGGTCGAACCATAAACGCGCGCGCAATCTGCATTCGAGATCACTTGGAGAGTAACATGACGTAGACGACCAATGCTACCACCAGCTAGAAAATTAGAACGTTGCCTAGTTATTAAGATTCATATTTAAAACTAGCATTGCCCGCGGCTCCGCCCGCGTTCAGGTGACCAAAAACCGAATTCTTAGGTTTTACATATTAGTATACTCTTACAATGCAGTTTTTGTATTTTTTATCAGAAATGAAATATTTTCCCGAGGTAAAAATATCCTATATGTTAACCCGAATAACCAGCTATCACCATACCAAATTTCATAAAAATCCCTCCAGTGGTTTTTCCGTGATACGGTAACAGACAGACAAAAATTCTAAAAATTATAGAGTCAGCCTCTGTAACGATAATAATGTTTATTTCAATAAGATTTTCCAAAAAATATTTAATGTACAGATTCGGCTTAGTTACAATTTTATTATATGTATATATGGGAGAAATATATACTATGAGTAATATAAATACTAAATAGAAATAATTTCGAACTTACAATCAGCAGTCAATCCGTAGCCGGCAGCGACCGCATTCGCTCCAACCAAGGCGTTGGTGCCAGAAGCCAGACCGATGTTGCGGATATTGTCTGAAATCCGCAATAACATTTAAAGTCCCATTTGAAAAGATTATGCCACAGTATATTTACTTTTAAGCAAAACGAAACAAATGCCTATGTAAGTACTAACATAAATTATAATTCATGAAATTTAGTGACACGGATTTAAAAAAAAATGTACTTATAATAAATTGACGACTTGACGACACGTTTGGCTCAGTTTGTAGTGGCTGTGCCAGCGGTCGCGGGTTCGAGTCCCGCTGGGGGCATTCATTTGTGTGATGAGTACGAATGTTTGTACTCTAGTCGTAGGTGTTTATATTAATATGTACCTATGTATTTAAAGATATATATGTGTAGTGTATCGACTATCTGGTATCCATAACACAGGCCTCGTAGCTTACCATGGAACTAGATGGTGCTGTGTGTTAATATCCCGACATATTTATTTATTTATAATTTTTTATTTGATTTGTCCTCCATACTCACTTCGCCCATAGCGGCCAATCTCAGTGAGATTAGCCAGTACAAGTGATATTATAGGTGCATAAGTGTACACGCAAACACAACGTGCACTCTCTATTCGGATAGGACGATACTTCGAAACAACCAGTTAGAATTAAGACGCAGGACCGTCAGCTTTACGTGCTCTCCGAGGCACGGAGGTTGTAACAACGCCAACTTCCAAACTCCGGGCCACCTACGATATACATACTTAGATGATATTCCTTAAAAACATACACTGATCAAAACACAAATATTTTAAAACTAGCATTGCCCGTCCGCGTTTAGATGACCAAAAACCAAATTCTTAGGTTTTACATATTAGTATACTCTTACGTTGCAGTTTTTGTATTTTTTCTCAGAAATGATATATTTATATATTTTTTTTTATTATATTTATTATATATATTTGCCCGCGGTAAAAAGTATTCTATATGTTGACCCGGATAACCAGCTATCACAATACCAAATTTCATCAAAATCCCTCCAGTGGTTTTTATGTGATACGGTAACAGACAGACAGACAAAAATTCTAAAAACTATAGTTTCGGCCTCTGTATCGATAATATGGTTTATTTCAATAACATTTTCCAAAAAATATTTAATTTACAGATTCGGCTTAGTTACAATTATATTATATGTATAGATTGTAACAATCAAATTAAAATTGTCTACAAAATAGGTACCTACTGTTGTAATTAACCCATGGAATAACAATGATGGCAATATCATTGTGAAAATTGTCCATATTGTAGTTAGAATGCATTTGAACATTAGTTGAAGTGACACGAGTTCCTCCAGAGAGCAGAGTTACTGATCCAAAAACAACTATTACGGATCTGCCCTGCATAGCTCGGGTCCTCCAGCAGTGAGCGGCGGTGACCACGCGGGTGTTGGTAATGAGAGATGATCCGCAACTGGACCTGCGACCATCTGTGAGTGATACAATTAGACCACCCTGAAATAAAAAAAAAATATTAAATATTATTGATTCACCAGCTGACCCAACAGACTTTTCAGTTCATACAAAAATATATTTTTCCCGAATTTTTCCATTTTTTACAAGCTTTTATTTAACTTGCCGTCTTATTGGTGTGTTAGTTTAGGTCAAATCTTGTAATTGAATTTTAAAGCAGCTATCTAGCTAGAATTTTAAAGTGTGTTTGTTTGTTTGTCTTTCTTTCACGTCGAAACGGAGTGACGGGTAGGTGAGATTTTTGTTTGGAGATAGTTGTAGAGCTGGAGAGTGACAGGCTACTTTTTACCGCGGGAGATTATCTCTTTCGCACAGAAAATACGTTATAATACTATCCAAAAAATATTTATAATGATCAGAATTACTTGGAACTTGGTATAAATGCTCTTCAATACAATTAATTAAATAATTGTATTAGCATTTTTCGAAATTCATCCAATAAGGGGGTAAAATAGATGGAACAAAAAGAAAAACGGATGGAAGTTTGTACGAAACCTACCATTTTAGAGTTTTTTTTTTGTAGTTTTAGCTCGAGCGAAGCCGCGGGTTTTGCTAGTGTTATATAAATTGACATCCGTAAAGCAATATTATAAAACAGTTTACTTTAGAAAAACATATTAAAATCACTAATAAAAGCTTCTGTTAATTACCAAGTGTGGGTGATTTCCCACGTTAGACTGTGATCCTCCTATGATCCTGCCGCCATCGAAGTCCTGAGCCATCTCGGCTTGCTTGATCCGTTCAGCCAATGGAATACCCACTTTGTTGTGGTAGTCCAACTCTATTGGCTCGTAGGGAACCCCCGCGTTGGCCACGGCCAGACTGACAAGTAGGAGGAACAGCTTCATTTTGCTTTGAATTGAAAACAGACTGAAGCGTAATAGTATTTATAGTTTAATTCGGTACTCATGTAGTTAGGTATCGCAGTGGTATTAGCAAAACTAATTGTATTAAACCAGATTATGATAAGATAAATTAATTAATCATCATCATTGATTTCCAACATGATTACCACTTGTCTTAACGGTGAAGGAAAACATCATGAGGAAACCTGAATGGCTGAAGGAAACTAGCAAGTTTTCAAAAGACATGTGAAGTTCGCCAATTCGTACTTGGCCAGCGTGGTGGGCTATGGCCTGATTCCACTCGTACTGAAGGGAGGCCCGTGCCCAGCATATATATATACTAGCATATATATTATAGGTTCATAAAAACTTTCATCCCCTATTTTACCCCCTTATAGGATGAATTTCAAAAAATGCTAAAACACTTATCTATTTATTTGTATTGAAATTTGAATAGCATTAATCTAAGTTTCAAGTCCTTCTGATCATAAATATTTTTTTGGATTGTATTATAACGTGTTTTCCCGTGGGAATTAGATAATCTCCTGCAGTACAAAGTAGCCTATGTCACTCTCCAACCTAGTGATGGGCGATTATTACAAAAACTAATCGAATTAGTCAATTGTTCAGCTTAGTTGATAAAAGTCGATAACAATCGATGTTATTCGACTGTTATCTACTAACGGCGTGAGGCGGGCGATAATGACTGACATGGTTTCCGTGTTAACTTTAACTACTAATTTGTAGCACAGTGCACCTATATTACTATACTCGTAAGTAAACAAATTGTAGTAATACTAAAAACAATCGACGTAACACAGTCCCGTACTCCGCACGCAACTGACCGCACTCACAAGCAGTATGCGCCGTGGCCGTGCGTACAGTTAGTAGTTAGTCGATTGTTATTCGAATAATCAAGGTGAGGAAATACTAAATCGACCATCGAATGCGCAATAGCACAATTTTCGATTCAGTCAATTGTTGTTTTTTGCAATAATCACCCATCGCTACTCCAACTCTCCAACTATCTCCATACAAAAAAATCACGCCAATCCATCACTCTGTTTCGATGTGAAAGAAAGATAACCAAACAAACACACTTTCACATTTATATATACTTATTCTTTATCAGTCTTTACTATAATATTAATATCCAACCTTGAAATAGTTTGTAGGCGATTACAACATTCCGTTCAACACAAATCTATAAATATAATAAAATTGTAACTAAGCCGAATCTGTACATTTTAATTATTTTTTGGAAAATCTTATTGAAATAGACATTATTATCGATACAGAGGCCGAATCTATAGTTTTTAGAATTTTTGTCTGTCTGTTACCGCATCACGGAAAAACCACTGGAGAGATTTTGATGAAATTTGGTATGGTGATAGCTGGTTATCCGGGTCAACATATAGGATACTTTTTATTGCGAGAAAATGTCTTATTTCTGAGAAAAAATACAAAAACTGCAATGTATACTATGCATGTATACTAATATGTAAAACCTAAGAATTTGGTATTTGGTCATCTGAACGCGGGCGGAGCCGCGGGAAATGCTAATATTCTATAATACTTTTCACAGTACTATGTCACATTTGTCTTGTTTTGTTGAAATGTCAGGCACCTCACTGTCTGTCATCTGTCTATTGTCAATGTGACAGTTTATATACGTAGCAATATACTCTGTGTAGTTCCTGCTTCCTTCTAAAAATGATAGACTTAGACGACTGTTGTTTAAATGTTTTATTTTAATAATAAACGCCAACACGTTCCATAAAATACAACGTAGTTTTTATTTAACATGGTAGCAGAGCGTGGTTGGTGCTAAAAGAAAAAGGAATCATCATCACTGGGTTGCGATCCACGTGGATGAAATATAATGAGAAAAAATCAAGACAACGCAAACATGTCGTCGGGGGCTGCGGTCTCGTCAATGTCGTTGTTGCCGTGCTTGGGTGAGAAGTCAAACTTCAGCACGTGGAAGTTTCGCCTTAAACTGATGTTAGAAGATAAACAAGTTGCATACGTATTAAAAGAAGGAGATAATGAAAAAGAAAAATCCGCCGAATTTATCAAAGACGATTCGAGGGCAAAGTCTTTAATTGCAATGTGCGTTTCCGACCGCTACATTGAAATAATAAAGGATGGGAAAACAGCGAGAGAGATGATTACGTTATTGGAAAATACATTTGAGAGAAAAAGTGTCTACAACAGGTTCTACCTAAAACGCAAATTAATAACTCTAAAGTGCAATGAGCCATTAGAAACATACCTCATAAAGTTCTCATCAATTGTTAATGATCTCCAGGCGATTGAAGTCAAAATTGATGATGAAGATAAGATTTGTTACCTGCTGTCATCGCTGCCTAAGGAATATGATCCTGTAATTACATCCATCGAGACCATGGCTACAGAGAAGAGACTGACATTTGATTTTGTAAAAGCCAGATTGCTGGACGCTGAGACAAAAATCATCACAAACAAGGACACGACCGATCAAGAGAGTGCATTCATCACATGTTTTACTTGTGGTAAGCCGGGACACAAAAGCTATGAGTGTAAAGATAGGACTAATGAAAAAGAGCCACATCGAGGCAGGGGCCGTGGGAGAGCTGCTGGCCGAGGTCGCAGAGCTGCACGAGGACAACCCACACGAGGTCGAGGACAACGTGGTCAAGCCCAAGAGACGTCCCTAGCTGGTAAGGCGGAAGTTGGATTTTTTGCCAGTGAATACATGTTTGGATCAGTTGATAATTCTAATATTACATTTATCGTAGATTCAGGTTGTACCCAACATATTATAAGTGATCAATATGAACAATATTTAACTGATATTAAAACATTGCAAAAAAGTGTTAAAATATATGTTGCTAATGGTCAATATATAGAGAGTAATAAAAAGGGAAAGTTGAAGTTCATGTATAAACATATAAAAATAAATATAGAGGCATTGATTGTAAAGAATATTTCATATAATTTATTGTCAGTAAATAAAATAACTGAAGCAGGATTTCATATAAAGTTTAATAAAACAAAAGCTGTAATAAGAAATAAAAATATATATGTTATTTGTTATGCTGAGGGAATGTTATATAAATTAAATGCTCAATTATGTAGTGAAATATGTAATATCAGTAATAACAAGAGTGATGATGTTCTTTCTAACATTTGGCATAGACGGTTAGGTCATTTAAATAAAAAAGGATTAGGTATTATGAATTTACAGGTTTCTGAAAAAGTTTGCGGCCCATGCATAGAAGGTAAAGCTACGAGAACACCATTTAAGCAGACGCCGAGACCTAGATCTAAGAGAGTAGCAGAGTTGTTGCATACAGACATTGCAGGACCTACCAAGAACTGTGGTTTAAACGGTGAGAAATATTTTATGACTGTAATTGACGACTACTCCCATTTCTGTGTTGTATATCCATTGGTGCATAAGTCAGAAGCGACAGAGAAACTTATTAACTACATAATTAAATTAGAAAATGAAACTGGAAATAAAGTGCAAAGAATAAGATGCGATAATGGTACAGAGTATACAGCAAATAGACTGAAGAATTTTTGTAACAATAAAGGAATAAATATAGAATATACTCTACCTTATACGCCACAACAAAATGGAGTTGCAGAGCGCTTGAACAGGACTTTGTGTGATAAAACTAGAACTTTGTTTGCAGAGACGAACTTACCAAAATTCTTATGGTGTGAAGCCATTCAGTGTGCTGCATACCAGTTGAACAGATCTCCATCCTGGGCTATCAACTTTAATACTCCATGCTTTATGAAAAATGGACATAATGATTTATCAAGACTGCGAGTCTTTGGATCAAAAGCTTGGACAACTATAATACCGAAACAGGATAAGTTAAGTAAAAGAGCAAAACCTACAAGAATGGTTGGTTACAATACTGTGGGCTATAGATTATGGAATCCAGAAGATAATACAATAATAATATCAAGAGATGTCATATTCGATGAAAGCGATTTTAAATATATCGAAGACAAAGAAAGTGAAGAAGAACAGCTTATTCAAGAAGAAATAGACTATCAAGTACAGAAAACTGCAGAAGTCAGAGACAAGGAAATTAGAAGCACAGAACCTGAGACTACAGAATGTCAAGATATTCAAATAGAAGCAGAAAAAGAAAAGAACTTAAATAGAGAAAGTGAACTAGTAAAGAAGTCAAGATCAGGTAGAATAGTAAAACGACCAGCGCATTTAGAAGATTATGCATCAAACATAGTCACATGTTTGAGTGCAAATACACCAAACTCATTTGAAGAGGCAGTGAGTAATACAGAGTGGAAACAAGCTATTCAAAAGGAACTACAAGCACTGGAAAAACTAGATACATGGGAAGAAAAGGAGCTGCCTACAGGAAAGAAAGCCATAGACACAAAATGGATTTTTAAACAAAAAGAAGAAGGAACTAAAAAGGCAAGATTAGTTGTAAGGGGCTTTCAACAGAAGAAAGAAGATATTTTTGACAGCAATTATGCTCCAGTTGCAAGACACTCTACAGTTAGGATGTTCATATCTAAAGCTCTACAAGAAGATTTAATGATAAATCAACTAGATATACCTACCGCTTTTTTGAATGGAAAATTGAAGTCAGAAGTTTATATTAAAGTGCCACAAGGATTAAAGGTGAAAAATTCTAATTCTAAAACAGTATTAAAACTTAAAAGAGCACTTTATGGATTAACAGAATCTCCAAAATGCTGGAATGAGACAATAGATGATTTTGCGAAGAACAATGGATTTCAACGTTCAGAATATGATTATTGTATGTACTACAAAAATGACTGTTGGATGTTAATATATGTAGATGATATTCTAATAATTGGAAATGGAGATGACATAATAAAGGAATTGAAACAAAAGTTCAATGCGAAAAATCTAGGAAAAATGGAAAGATTTTTAGGTATGGAAATACAAAGAAGTGAAGACACTATAATCATAAAACAAACTAACATGATAGAGAAAATATTACAGAAGTTCAATATGAGTGATTGTAAAGGAATGAAAACACCTATGGAGATAAATTATAATATACAGATATATGATGATGAAGAAATATTGGATGTACCTTATTGTGAACTGATTGGTAGTTTAATCTACTTAACTGTAACATCAAGACCGGATTTGACATTTGCAGTATCTTATCTAAGCAGATACCTGGACAAACCAACTGAACAACTATGGAAAGCTAGTAAGAGAGTTATACGCTACCTAAAAGAAACTAAATATAAAGGACTAGTATTTAGAAGAACTACAGATAATAATTTGTATGGATTCTCTGATGCAGATTGGGCCGGAGATAGAAATGATAGAAAAAGTGTAAGTGGTGGCATAATTTTACATGGAGTGAATCCCATAGCTTGGTTTTCAAAGAAACAGTCATGTGTTGCTCTTTCAACAGCAGAGTCAGAGTACATTGCTGCTGCTGCCACAGCTCAAGAGTTGGTGAATCTTAAAGGTCTCAGTCAACATTTAAAGTTCAAAAATGATGCCATCTTACTCGTGGATAATATAGGAGCAATTTCTATGTCTAAAAGTTATGAAAATTCAAAAAGAACTAAACACATAGATATTAGGGCTCATTTTCTTAAAGATATTGTTGAAAAGGGCATCATTGCTATTGAATATATTAATTCTAATGATAACTTAGCTGACATAATGACTAAAAGTTTATGTAAAGACAAATTTTTAAAATTTAGAGATCAATTTATGTGTTAGAAAGTATTATGATAGGAGGAGTACTACTGTAAACTCATATTGTATGATTGTTGTTATTATTATGTAATATTAATATTAAGTAGCTATTTGTTGTGTAAAACTTAAGTTATTAAGAAAAAATTTTAAGTTCAGGTTAATGTAAGTTAGTGAATATTTTTAAGTTGAAATTGTTTTGTAAGAAGTAAATATATTTGATAAGTGATGTGCTTGATACCAAATTTAAATTTGAGAAATGTTAAATTCGAGGAGGAGTGTTGAAATGTCAGGCACCTCACTGTCTGTCATCTGTCTATTGTCAATGTGACAGTTTATATACGTAGCAATATACTCTGTGTAGTTCCTGCTTCCTTCTAAAAATGATAGACTTAGACGACTGTTGTTTAAATGTTTTATTTTAATAATAAACGCCAACACGTTCCATAAAATACAACGTAGTTTTTATTTAACATGTTTAAAGAAGGAAAATTATTTCTATAAAAGAAAAGATGTATGGCCCAGGAATAGGCCCTTGTGGAAACCCTATGTCTAATAGGATCCTGGGGGATCTTTTGCAATTCAATCAATCTTCTATATTCTAATATACATACTCGTATAAGAAATCAGAAGGTTATTTATTTAATTTTAATGTCATGGTGATACAGTTCCCTTATCAAATTGATGTGTATATAAATCAAACGCCATACATAAGGCACAAAATATATGAAGTGCCTCTTGTGATTTTTCTAAGCCACAAATGTACTCATATTTTAACCTAGCATTAACGACTGCTTTGGAGCGCCCAAATGTATTTTTTTTTTTGAGTTCGATAAAATCTTAAAAATAGTTTTTTTTTTAATGTTTTTAGCATTAGTGTTTATAGCATTAATACCAAATTTCATTGGGTAATTGTTTTGATGATAAATAGCATCAATATAGCAAATATTCGTGAATGATAGACACAGATACACAAGATAGATTAGTATCATACTCCTCAAGTCATCACTGATAAATGATAATATACACATTACATTGAAAAATCTGACAGAAAACAATAAATTAATCAAGTGCAGATATAAATACTCAAAAGCAGATAATTACAGTGTAATAGCATTCATCATTTCATAAAGATAAAATTGATTTATTTGAAAAATAAAGGCTAAATATTATGGAGCAATATTTTTAATAATTTTTCTTAGTAATTTAACTGACATAAGCCTATAAATAACCGTTATTTTTTTGGATTTAAAATTTTGAATATTTTTATAACGTTCGAACGCAAAGCAATTACTATTATTTACTTTAATATATTTTTTTAGCATTTTAATCATCTCTGATGGGGTAGTAATTAGCACGTGAGTTACAGTAGAAATAAATAAATAAAATAGACGTGAGAAAAAGGTATTTCCGAGTAAAAAAATATTTAAGAATTTAAGTGCTTCGAGAATGTAAATGAAATGGTCATATCGAGAAAACTTATCGAGGTTTTATTATTTTATGACACATATATTTTTTTTAAATACATATTATGTACAATCTAAAAAAAACAATGTAAATACCATAACGAAATTCATAATGTAGATTAAGATATGTAAGATATATTAAAAAATAATAAATTGTGGCTAAATTTTAAATAAAACTATCTTTTCGGATAATTTCGCGGATTTATTTTGATTTTTGATTCCCGACGTTTCGAATGCTTTACAGCAATCATGGTCACTAAGGTTATGGACGTCTCAAACACATACTTGTTACAGACATTGCCTACCCACTATTTTACAAAAATGATTTAAAAGAATTCAAATATGGCAATAAAGTACCTTACAATATTTCTTGATTTTTATTTCTAAACATTTTTTAGAGAATTTAAAAAGTATTATAATTAAATATGTATAGCAATATTATTTATTTAATTTTAGCTGTTATTAGAGCCGTCAATATTTTATCGATTAATTCGATAAAATATTGACGGTGTCCTTTTTTGCATTTTTATTTGGTTCGATTCCCGGTCAGGTAAGTTAAAAATAAAAATAAATGTAGTTATTATTTAAAAAAATAAAGAAATGTTCTTCCATGTTCCATCCGTTTGTTCCAACCTGTATGTATAGATTTTTGTTTTCATCTTTAACTGGAGGTAGGATTTTTTGAAATTGAAACAAATCAAAAAATGTTTTAAAAACAACTGCTAAGTGGTTCAAGTAATAAAAGTATTGTAAATTATAATTTAGTTTTTATTTCTTTATCTGTATCCATACTAGTTTTTTCTAGAAGCTTCCAGTAGGTAAGGGATTGTCCATTAATCACGTGATGTTGTTTGTATTTATTTTGGTACAAAGTATTATTTTTTTTTCATGACAAAAAATGTCCTCACCGAATGAGCGCTTATTTGAACATTTGAGCGCGCTTGTAATTTTTTTTTTGTGAATACAACTTTAAGGATTGCATTTAAGGTTTAATTTACACTGTTGTATATTTATTTCAACTAGAACAATTACCTAAACACAATCGGTGACAGGTTTAAGAGAACTTTTGCATGGGATTGTGTATCTAGTAATTCGATGCATTTATTACAAATATATTGTTTATATAAACAATATTGTTATTTGAAAAAAAAATTAAAAGGAAAAATCATAATAATACAAATAAATAATTAATATTCACATATTTATTACATATTTTCTGATAATCTTATCTTCAATTAATAATAAATCAAAATTATTATTAAAAAATTACCTTAATTATACATGTAATTTCATCACTTAAAATAACAATAATTAACTTAATTTCTCTATTAATCTACTTTACCGAGCCATAAAAAAGTTTGTAGATATCACATTAGTCTCCATGTATCTGGAAAAAAAATATAACCATATAAAAAAAGGTGTGTGGATACTTATTACTTATGTATGCACGTAAGAAGTTATACTTCTTTGGCGTAACAGAACAAAAATAGCTAAAGGTTTCATCCCGTATGTCACAACTTTCTGTTTGTAAAAGGAATGCAGCTAACTTGATCATGTCGATTTTTGGCTGTCGGTGTGCGCGCGTCGTAAAAATTTTACCCTCATAATTTTTTTCAAATGTGCCAAAAGAAGTATAGCTTCTACAGATTTACACTTCAGATTCTAGACGGTACTAAAGCACTTTAACGTAAAATGTCGTTATGAAAATAGTATATTCTTATGGTAGGTGCTGTCTGTAACAACTATATGTACATATGACGAAATTATAAAAAAATTGAGCAACCTCTTCATTTTTTTTGTACTTCGCTTTGCGGAGGCTCTTAAAACATGATAAGCTAACATATTTTTGGAAGAGACTCGAAAAAAAGAATATTTGTCATGATTGGGCTACCGTAATTCATATAGTCTACATACTACAAATTCCATAATAACCGTTAAAATGTAGCTAGGGATGAACCCGAGCAAAGCGAGGGTGAGTCGCTTGTATATATGTAGATACTTACTGCTTCAGCTAAGTCCACCCAATCCAGGGCTCTCGCTATATTGTCATTTTTAGATGGCTTTTTATCCCAATTCCAATAAATAATTTCTTTAAAACCGCCCGCCACCTGGTGATACAAACAATTAAAGAAAAATTAAATAGGCAAAAAAATAAAAACAAACCTATCCCACGGGAACAGTACATTTACCTAAATAAAAAGATAAAAAGTAACCTATGTGCTATTCCAGACTAAAATCTATGTCTGTGCCAAATTTCTTCCAGATCCATTCACTAAAAATCATCAGGAAGATCTGTTTACAATTGGGAAAAAAATTGATATCTATCTTTATATCAATCGATTTGAGTATTAACTCCTTTTGTTAAAGTTGGTTACACAAAGGGAATTAATGCCCGATTTCACCAACATCCCATAAGCTACCACTTATGTATGGGATCCCTAGCTTAAAAGTTCCCCTAAACTAGCCCCTAAATTAAATTTTGTTCTACCATCGTCAGAGTCCGTGTTTGTAGTACCTATATTTAGGTGGCATTTTAACATTTAGGTGACCCCTAACTGTCGGTGAAACAGCAACTGTCCCCTAACAGCCCCCTAACCATACTTAGGGGATCCCTTAAATTTAGGTGACATTGGTGAAATCGGCCATGAGAGTTGCAAGAACTATGAGATATCTCTAAAACAATTGAACTACAATATAATTTGTATAAGTGGTAGTCGAATGGTAACATGCTCACTTGGGCAATTGAGTGAAGGGGGTTCAAATCCAGGGCCTCACACCTCTTATATTTTCATGTGCTAACATTTCTAAAATGATTATTACTTGTCTTACGTTGAAGGAAAACATCGTGAAGAAACCTACAAGTCTGAGAGAACCTAGCAAGTTTTCGTAAGACATATGTAATTCTCCAACCCACACTTAGCCAGCATTGTGGACTATAGCTAGAACCCCTTATATTGAAGGGAGGCCGATACCCAACAATGGGATGTTAAAAAATGCTGAATACATCATTTGTGAAATTTTTTTATAATATTTACTTGAAATTTCCTATCAGCATCCTCTGCAAGAGGTCTTTTAGCTTCAGTCAAGACCACAGCTCTATATCCTTCTGGTAGTTGCATCTTAACACCATCTAATTGATGGCCCCTGAATGTCGCAGATAACTCTGAAAGGTAACATCAGTATGATATATTAAAATATTGTCTGTCCGACAAAACATCCATTGTTTGATACAAAGTAAATATAAGATCAATCTGAAAAAGCTAAGTTTTTGGTTTCAAACAGTGAATAGGTCTTTTTTGGGGCAAAGTATGTAGGCATAATAAAGTACCAGTTGATATTGACCTTGCAACTTATAATTTAAATCAAATATAGAAAATCTATTACTAAGCAAAGCATATTATTCTGTTGTGGAATACTTTACTGTATTGTAATATTATATTAAAAGCAAATTATTGATTAAAATGGCAACTGCCTCGTTTCTCTTGGGCTCAGCAGAACAGTCTTCTGAGACGGTGCTAGCTTCCTCATGGACTTACTGACATTAAAATTTAAAAAGTGCTGTAAAATGTGTTTGCTGTCAGAAATCACTAAAAACTTTAATTAACCCGAACGAAGCGAGAGTAAGCGGCTAGTATTTCATACAAATGGAGATAATAAAACTACAGAAAACTACTATTGATGAATTCCTTACCCCCATTTTCATTTTCAATAACGTAAGGCTCAAAATATTTATTTACATTCGCAGGACCATCTTCTTCAATCTTACAGGGTACATAATGGGCACGTTGTTCAAATATTTGCTTGTTTTCACTATCTTTCAAATTGTTCTCTACATTTATTGACATTTTTGCAATAATTTTAACTACACTTCGTGAATCCTAATATATGATTTAATATAAATAAGATCTCAAAACTGATTACAATAATGCACTTTCAAGTTTCAACCATGGGTGACACACAAATAAAAGTTTCAACTTTAAAGTTTATTAGAAATTAAAATGAAATCATTTAATCAATTGTCATTTGTCAAACATTTTACATTTTCATTTTCCCGCCAACATTTGATCAATAAAAATCGTTTAGTAGATAGTAATCGATTACTTTACTTTCATTCTCAACGAATACGATTAATATATTTACATTGCAAATGAAACCAGTAAACCAGTTTAGTGCCTTTTTCACTTAAAAGAAATTAAAATTCTTTATTATTGTAATTTGTAGTTCGTAAGTCGTATATAGCCAAAACTACATTAAATAAAATTGAAATTATAATTATTAATTAATCAAATAAAATAAAATCTTTATTAATCAATTTTCCTATTTACCAAAAATAATTGGTAAATGAAATATATTACTATAATAACATAATAAAAAATATATTATATAGTATTATCTGCCCCTAGTACTAACTGAAACACAGACCAAAATTAGCAAATATCAAATGTCAGCGTAATCATTTTCACTTGAATAATATATATATATATTGTAATTTAATAATATATGCTGCATTTAAAGGCTAAATATAAATTATATTATATAATTATAAAATTTATATAATGTAATCGATATATATAAAATAGCTATAAATAAATATTGCTTACACTAAATTAATTTTACAATTTTATTAATATCAACTGGCAGCAATATTTTCAATAATGTTGCCCGCCTAAATAATATCGATTCAAAAAGCTTTAAAAATTAAAAGTTAAAACTGAAAATGTCAAAATATTTCATCACTCGTACGAGTCATAAAACAGGGTTTACCGTTTAAATTTCTTAACAATCACAATTGTTGCAAAATTTCGTAATTTCTAACGTATTACGCGAACATACTGATCTAGATTACTCAAACATGAACTTACAAAGCTAGTGCAATAATCGCCATTATTTATTGTTTGTACAGTTGATAAATATTATTGTTTTTATTACGTCACTAAAATTATTTGGCAGTGTTTAGTGCAATTTGTTTATTCATTTGGATTCAGTTGTAAGGAAACGTCGGTTGACCTTGAACCTACCCAACAGCTGTTGTAAGTATTGTTCTCTCTATTTTAAGATACTTTTTATTATACATACTTATTTCAAATATTTCATAATATAATCATCCCCCAATTCTTAGAAGAAAAACATTTCTTCACTAATTATTTATCCTATCTTTGTCTACATATCTGACAGTACATTTATTTTTTTTATTGTGATGAAATGTTGCTTTTATCTTAGCCAAATTGTTATTTGTAGCTTATTCTTTGATTTTGATTAATTATAACAATCAAAAGCATATAGATGACTTTAATTACTTGTAAATTATTGAGGAGTATACATTTATAATTATAATAATTGGGTAATTTTAATTCAATTAATGTAAAAATTATTGTGAGTGATATTTATTAAATATAGATATGTATTATGTAATAATATATATAAACTCATTATTTAGTTTTACTGAAAATTATTTGTCATTTATTGGTCTGTTGACCTTATCACCTTGAAGTAAACATGCAAGTGTATTATATTTTTATACAACTGTAAATAAAATAAATGTACAGTCAAGATAATAATAGAAAAGACAATAAAAGATATTTGTTTTTTATTCTTGTTGTTGCTTGTATTTAATTTTGCATCCATGCTTAATATTATAATTGTGAAAGTTTGTGAGGCTGGATGGATTTTGGTTACTTTTTCATGCCACAACGGCTGAACGGATCTGGATGACATTTGGCACAGAGATAGAGTGTCATCTGGAATAGCACATAGGTTAATAGGTTTTTTATCCTGGAAAAATGTGTGGTTCCCATGGGATAGATTTGTTTTTGTCTAGAGACAAAGGGAACTAATACTAATAAAGGAAACTAGGGAAAAAGAAGAAAAAGTAGTAGGTTAAATATAAAAACAATAATAAATAGTTGTATTATTCTAATAAGAAATTGCATCATAAATAGCAAACAGTATGAAATATTATCAAACAAAGTTAAATATTAAACAGTACTAGTGGTTGCTGAGTGGTCAGTATTTGATCATAATCATTCACAGTGAATAGAATTTACCTATCTATATATAAAAATGGTTCCAATTTTTTTTATTGATAAGCTCAATAAGAGCTACTGAACAAAAAAAAAGAAAATCAGTTCATAAACAGAAGAAAAAGGTAATGAACTATTTTGTGTTTGCTTAATTATGTATAAACTAGCAACTCACCCTCCCTTCACTGGGGTTCATCCCTAGCTCACTTCCCAATATAAACTTTCATCCCCATTTTCACCCCCTTTAGGGATGATTTCTAGGATAAAAGCTATCCTGTGTCCTTCCCAGGGTCTCAAACTATCTTCTTACTAAATTTCATCTAAATCAGCTCAGTAGATCCAGAGATTTCCCCCTACAACCTCACAAACTTTACTTCTTGTTTGTGTTCTTTGATCCTCTAAACTATGGATTTGGTAAGATTTTCATTATTTCTTAAAATTACCCACCTACCGGACCGGGCTTAAAAATTGCATGATGGATAGAAGTTTAAAATCGAAGAAAAAAATACAAAACAGTTTTAAAACACGATTGAAAACTTAAAATTCAAAAATCTCCATTATAAACATTAAATAATTTTTTTACATATATTTAATGTTTATAATGGAGATTTTTGATTTTTTGTAAAGATCATCCAAAATTAAAAATTTTGAAAAAAAAGTTGACTTTCGACCATTGTTAAGAAAGTTATGAGTAAAAAACCAAAAAAAGAGTGGTTTTGAAATAGTGATCAAAAAATCTCAAAATTTACCAGAAAGCCTCTTTTGAGGGGTTCTAAAAATACCAATATAAAGAAAATATTTTTTTTTTTTTTAAACCATCTGATTTGTTGTGGAATGCCCCATACGTATGATGAAATTTTGAGTCGAATCTGTACATTGAATAGTTTTTTTTGAAAGTTTTATTGAAATAGTCATTATTATCGACACACAGGCCGAATATATAGTTTTTAGAATTTTTGTCTGTCTGTTTGTCTGGGAACACATCACGAGAAAACCACAGGTCAGATTTTGATGAAATTTGGTATGATGATAGCTGGTTATTCGGGTCAACGTATATGATACTTTTTACTGCGGGAAATTATCTCTGAGAAATCGATACTAAACGACGAACCCGAGTGGAGCGAGGGTGAGTTGCTAGTTTCTTATGATACTTACTTTATTAGATTTATAAGGATATTGTCACGGTTTTATTTTGCTTTTTGATCATCGACGTTGTTAATACTTTTCAGCAAACATGGTGTTTTATTGTAACACGAAATTCAGTAAAATTAAAGAAAGTAGTTTTTTATATTCTTTTTATTTTTCTATTATTCACATATCTACACGAGCTCGGTATCGATTTTTTATTTCCTTATCAATTTACACACATTCAAAATGATTTAAACATAGGCAATGACTGATAACGATTGTGTATTTCTTTTTAGGTTTGCTCGATGCATATTTCAATTATAAATTATTAAAGAAAATTATAATTTTATTCAAAATACTTTTTCTAACCGAAAATTGAACCTATTGTTTATGGAATGAAATTAAATACTATATTATCACGTTATTACAATAATTAATGTATGACATAATATGATAAACTAAAAAAAAAGTGTGTGTGTAATTATGTACACACGTAAGAAGTTATATCTACTTCTTTGGCATAACAGAACAAAAATAGCTAAAGATTTCATCCCGTATGTCACAACTCTCTGTTTGTAAAAGGGATGCAGCTAACTTCATCATGTCTCTTTTTGGCTGTCGGTGTGCGCGCGCATCGTAAAAATTTTACTCTCATAATTTTTTCCAAACGTGCCAAAAGAAGTATAACTTCAAAACGCTCATTTTTATATAAGCTTTTTTTTAAAATACTAGCGACTTACCTTTGCTTCGCTCGGGTGCGTCCATAAGTTTAAATAGATGAGTGGTTTAGAAACGCATAAAAGACAAACGTCCAAACAAAATTTCATGTTTCTAACACCAGGACCCTGTTTTAAGAAAAAAAAAACGAAAAGATAGTTTTATTTGGAATGTTGCATATTTGCGTCAATCAAAGAAAGTATTATAAAAATAAATTATTACTCAACTAAAATTTCCCAAAATAATCTCCCACGAAACTGAAGCCAAATATTTAGTGGGTAATACAGTGCCAATATTTTTAATGTCATTTTATTTATTTTTGACAATGTTGTTTTATTTTCGAGATTGTTTCAAAAACGGGTGATTTGGAAAAGAGATTAAAGTGGGTTAACACCGTGGTGTTACTAGCTGCCGCCATTGTTTCCCAAAATGGCGCACAATTAAATAAGTGTTTATAGCTGGGGAAGCCATGAAAAAGATATAAATTAATTAGTTAAGTACACACTAAATCGGTAATTTATGTATAATTATTAATTAGACAAAGACAAAACAGTTTTGTGCTTTTTTCTCATCTAATTGTCAACTATTGACGAACTTTAATGTTGTCAATAAAAAAGTGACGAATTTCGACCACTAATAAATGCTTGGAAAATATTTTTTTTAAAACAGCCTATCGCATATTCACTCAGTTCAGTTTTACCCGACTGCATCGAAGCCTAAAGTAGGGTTATGAGTTTGACCTGTATGTGTATATGTCCGAGCCTGTTCCCTCGTAATTACTAAACGGCTAGCCGATTTTGATGGTTCATACGTTGCTGTATTTGTCTTAAAAACGAGAGTGTCATATTATATAGACATTACTAAAATAAAAAAAGGCTTTAATTTCTATGGCTTCTCGAATCATTCTAGGGCGATATCGGTTTTCTTTCGCCAGGATTTGAGGTCTGGACAAAGACTTTAAATCCTGGCGAAAGGCGAAA